ACTTGGTATCGGCGGCAATGTGCGGCGTGACCACTTGTTTCCGGTTTCCCGGGCAGCTCAATTCAGACCTCCGGAAGTTGGCCGTCAACATGGTACCGTTTCCGCGTTTGCACTTCTTCATAACTGGTTTTGCGCCACTTACATCCCGTGGGAGCCAACAGTACCGTGCGCTCACTGTCCCGGAATTGGTGCAGCAGATGTTCGACGCCAAGAACATGATGGCAGCGTGCGACCCCAGACACGGCCGATACCTGACGGCAGCTAGCATATTCCGGGGACGTATGTCCATGAAAGAGGTTGATGAGCAGATGCTAAATGTACAGACCAAGAACTCCAGCTACTTCGTCGAATGGATACCGAACAACACGAAGACTGCAGTGTGCGATATACCACCGAGGGGCCTTAAGATGTCGGCCACGTTTATCGGCAACACAACAGCCATCCAGGAAATGTTTAAGCGCGTGTCTGAACAATTTACATCCATGTTCCGGCGCAAGGCATTTTTGCACTGGTACACCGGCGAGGGTATGGACGAGATGGAGTTCACCGAAGCTGAGTCAAACATGAATGATCTGGTATCCGAATACCAACAGTACCAGGACGCGACGGTCGATGAGGAAGGAGAAGGAGATGACGATGATGAGGATGCAGAAGCGTAAATCCTGATCGTCTATATTCGATAAAATCTAATTATGAAATAAAACAATATTCATGGCAAATTTGTTAATGTTTTATGAATTTTCCAATTTTCCAATTTTATGTTTTTTTAAAGCTATTATTATTTTTTTACGACTTTCTTGGTTGTACTTAAATAGAAAAACTTGTTGTCTACTGAGTACTGACGGTTATTTATATTAACTATTCAAGACGATAATGGGTTCCAAATTGCCAATTGTTTTATATTGTTACGTACGTTCGTCTGTGATATTTGGTGTTCTAACTTGAGTTCTAACTTACTTATACTTATTTATTAATTTTGTAATTTATTAACTAATAATCATGAGTGAAATTTGTCACTTGCAAGCTGGCCAATGTGGAAATCAAATTGGTGCAAAGGTAATATAATAAACAAAATTATAAGACCCAACTTCAAGTTTGAAGCTTGCGAGCTGCGGGGTTCAGTCGTGGACCTTTGGTCGCTGCGACGCGGACGATAATGTAGTTACGATGTGTCGTAACAGATATAATATATAAGGAGCCTTCTATTAAATTTTCAAACTTTTTTTACCCAACAAGTACAATTTTATTGATATGTGAAAAACAACTAAAAAAAAATGGAAACTGAAAATGTCCGTAAAAAGCTCAAAATAAGTCAAAATACTTTTTAAATGATAAGGTATATAGAAAATGCTAATATAAACATTCAGTCAAAATTTCATGCATCTACAGTAATTTGTTTTAGGGTTACAACAAAAACCAAAAACGATTTTGTCGAAAATTGATTTTGAGTAAAAATTCCCGTTTTTTCTTTTGTTTTTCATAGCCCTTTTGAAAACTACTGGCCACAAAGTACCAACTAGATTCACTTTCCTATAAGAAAAAATACCGTTGAAGAAAATCTAAGAATTTTTACTGTCCTAAGAGGTGATGACAGACAAAAAAAATTTTTAAAATTAAAAAACACACATCATTGTAAAATCAATAAATTCATCACTTTACTCTGAATCTAAAATTTACAAATTTTTAAAAGTTAAAAATATGTAGTAAAATAGATTTTATCATACTCGTACATGTCTTCAGATTTTTTTGTTGTCATTCTTTAGTACCAACTAAAAATTAACTATAAATTTAAATTATGCTGACCTTCAAATGTTTCATCTGTGAATTTTCGTGATTTTTTTGGTGTCGTTATGATTGTTTCGTCAACTTGTGTGTATGCACCTAAAAATAAATTAAAGTGTTACATTTAAATAAATATATTATTATTCACTAGGTAGTTACAAGAAACCTCGTTTTAAATTTTCTAACCTTAGCTATATAGACTGGCAGTTTCATAAATCTTTAACTACAAAATAATTTGTGAATGTTCGATATTTTGATGAATTTTTGTCAAAATTCGAACTATAGATGTTTATAAAAAAAAATTGTGATATTTTTCAACTGCCATTGATACAATATATTAGAAGTCTTATATTAAATTTCAAGCTTTTTGACCCAATATATATAATTTTATTGACATCTATAGAAAAAAACCGAAAAAAATTGGAAACTGAAAATGTTCGTGAACAGCACAAAACAACTAAATTGAAAATTGCATCGAGTATTGCAAATGCTAATATTATAAACAGTGAAAATATTATGAATGTATGGTCATTTGTTTTAGACTTACACCAAAATCCAAAGTTGATTTCAAAAACTTGGTTTTGTTTAAAAATTCCCGGTTTTATTTTTGTTTTTCCCTGCGCGTTTGAAAATTTTGACCTTCCCAATGCACCAAATAAATTCATTTTCCCATCGGACAAGATACTGAAGTGGAAAATCGATGCAATATTTCGACTACTTAACGTGTACACCGTACACAGACACAAATAAAAATGAATATTAAAAAAATTAAACACGCATTATTGTAAAATCAATACACTCATCTCTCTGTTCTACAACTCCACAACATTGTAAAATAAATATATTTAAAATATACAATATGTATACCTACGTTCGGCAGTATTTTTTTATTTGATACCTGCCATGTCCAATTTATGGATGATTTACATTGACAGTCGTATATGTTTCGGGAACATTATCATCTATTAACTCATCTAACATTTATTTATTTTTATTATTTGTGTCAAAAATAAAATACACAAAAATATGATTTTTTCTTACTTATATATTTGTTTGGTACTGCATTAAGGTTTAGTCGTGATTTTGGGTCTGTGGGATTAGAATAGGCATTTTTTTCGAAATGAGATGAACATACAAACTAATTTTTTAACTTTTTAGGACTTAGAGATTCTAGTTTAATATTTCCTAAATTAAAAAATATTTTTTCATATTATTGAAGATTTTATTTATATTATAGATAAATTTACCTACTTACCAGAATTAACTATCCATATTTTGGACCTTTCTTCGTTTGATGGAAAAGGATGAAATATTATATTTTATGTATTTCTACGTGTATTTGTGCAGTTAAAATATGCACATTTGTCACTAGACATTTTAATTATTTGAGAACAACACAGTCGACAATAAAAAGTATAAATGATTTCAAAATAACATAACAAGACACAATTCTATAGTTATTACGTGATACTTAAGTAATAAATATAACAACCAAGTCTTAAAAAATAATTTAAATGATCAACGAGTACCGTTCAATTTTTACGTCCGTAATGCGCAAGTTTTCAGCATGTGTACTCAGAATAAATATAATATAATTCCAATATTTTGTACAAGCGTACAAGCACTGATTATAAATAGTAAATAGTTTAAGGATACTATTTCTAATCAATGGTATAATTTAAAAGAGACGAAAATACTTCGCATTAAGTGTAACGTGAAGTCTGTTGCAGGTATAATATAATATTTTTATTTATTCAATAATATTTCAATTTTCAAAATATATATGATTGATGATAATGACTACCTATACTATAATATAGTAAATATTATGTGTAAATGCGTAATGTACTAATGTGTTTTAATAAAACTTTACATACTAATATACTAATATACATACTTTAAACATAAATATGACTATGCAATAACTAATTAATATATTTTAAAAATTAGGGACTGATTTAAAAATAAATATTTAACCTATTTAAGGGGGGGGGGTCACTGTTTTACTTACAACTTACATTGAAAATTGAAGACTATAAACAAAAATTTACTTTGACAAAGGTAATAATAATACTAATATTTAGTATCAATGGTAATAATCAAAAGATAAAATATTTTATTTTATTATTTTTTCAAGCAGTTGTAGGTAGTGATTTTCACCAAAAAATCACATTTCTCGATACAACTATATTTAATTAAATTGTTAAGTTCTGTTGTTATAATTGTAAATTGTAAAGTAAACTGTACTACTAGCCGAAATTGAAAGGGTACATTTTGACCAAAAAGGAGGCCACCCATCTAGGATCATATTATTATGGATAGGTATTTAATATTTATTATTTTGTAATCGTTGGCAGTGCGCCAGTGTAACGACAAGTTAGGTACCAAGTTTACAGTATATAGTATTATACGAGTATTGTCTTTGTAGTTTGTAGACGCTCCGAGAATTGAAATCAAGATAGGTCAATATGTACGTCTGTCTATACAGTGAAAAATTCAAGACTAATCCTTACTCCTATGAACTATACTAGCGATTATTGCGGTACACGCCATAACTAAATATCAAGAGGAGCTCCCTGTAACGTTACTCGCCATTCAGTGCGTATTTTATGCTGCATTGAGCTATCTAGAGAATTTATAATCAAGGTAATACATGCTTAGACTTTTTCTTAAAAATTATTGTGAAGGAAAAACTAAAAGCTTAAGATTTTTTTTACATTTAAAAAACATTCGAGTATTTTGTTCGACTTTTGTAGGTACCGAATAAAATTGAACTTTGCACTATTCATTCAACTGTTTTTAATGAATATTTTTGTTGTAACATTATTCATTTATAACTATTTCACTAAAAATCCAGTGAACTATAAGCCGAATCACATTGGACCACTGAAAGCACGTTGACTGAACTCGTAGGTTTGGACTCGTATGTCAATACTGTTACGGTTTAGCACAACACACACACACCAAACGAATCAGGCTTAATTCAAGGTCACCAAATAAAAGCCAAAACTCAGTGAAACCATATACTGAGGAAAATTAGTTTGACAAGCAAAAACCGCATCACGACAACAAAGAGTATAAGCTGCACGGTTTTCATCAATACAAAACGGTGGTACAACGACAATATTAGAACACGCGTCCAAGGTAGTAGTTTGAGCATAAATAGTAAATACCCTAGCACCATGCTGAAAAGTCACTCGACGCTTCAATTCTCATCTTCAACCACCAAATACAAAATATAGCAGAACATATTCTATATAGATAGACAGACTATATAGTAAGACAGCCCTGCAGATATCCAGAACACGATAACTGGAACTCGATGTTCCAGAGAAGCCAGTACAGCTCGGCAGTACAAACAAAATATTATGTTCACCTCGATGATAATTACCAACTAACCCGTGGTGACTAAACCTGCGCTCTCTCCGCCCAGACTCCCCCGAGACCAACGCGTCGACAATTGCCGCTACAAGCACCAGCGCTTCAGTATCCGAAACTCGATGGACCGGAAAATCAACGTGCCGTGAGATCGTGACATACGAACAATAATGTTCGCCCGACTTCCATTCACCCCATTGGTGTTCACTATTCGGTACGTGGTATAAATGAGTTCGCATTGCGGTGCGCTCCGAAGTAGCAGTGGAAAACGGATGCCGACGACGACTGTCACCGGCGAATCTGCCCATGACCAGACACCACAGGCGGAACCGCGGTAACTAAACGTATCACTTAATCGAAACCTCGGTGTGCTCAGTTGAACATCGCCTTCCTGAGTCAGATTAATACATTCAGTAAGAGCAGCCGCTTATTGTAGTTACACACTCGTACAGGTCGATCTCATCCCAAACGTTATGATAAGAACATATTATTAATCCTGAATTTTGTAAAGTTTGGGTCGACACCATTAGTATCAAACCCGTTCTGGCTCGACACTCTCTTTTTTCAAAGAGTATAAATAAAATAATACTTAACCAATAATATAGACAAACAATATATACTGAAAACAAGTATTATCATTTGAACATTTAAAACGATCCCCCAGAACCCCGACATACAGTTTAATACTAATAATTAAAACAATATTAGGAAATAAGAGAATAAAGTTGAAATGTTGAGTACAAAATATAAAAAAAGTGTAGGTTTAAGGTACCTAATAAAGTTAATTTATATTAAGATGACACATTGAATCAAATATTATAAAGTTTTTTTTTTGGGGGGGGAGGGATATAAAAATTTTGGGGTGATATAAAATAACAGTTATATGGTTATATAGATATATGATAGATACAGATGTGTAGTATGTAGGTATTAATTGGTTAAAATAACAATAGCAAAAAGTAGCAGAATAATATCTCATCACAATATAATGTAAATCAGTATAGCTGGTAATAGTAGTAAAATAATAGAATAATTAAATCACAGGATCATAGAATGAATCATGTGCCATGTGGTCATATAAAATTTTGGATTTTTGAGTAAAAACACACATGAAGTAAATAAAAATTAATATTTAAATACTCATAATTTGTTTAGTATAATTTATTATATTAAAGCATTCTGTTTTTGTATATGAAGTTAGGATTAGTAAAGAGATTGGGGAGATATGATTGAATATGTAATTTTTTATAATTATAGTAAAATAATAATTGGATGCATTGAATCCATAGCTACTACAATCAAATTACCGAACACATCATATTTATTTTTGAAATATAATAAATATAGTATTTAAGAATATACTATCGCTGGACGTGTCTTGAGCTAAGACTCCCGCCTACGGGTTACCAGGTCATCAGCTTTTTAAAATAATTAATTAATAATAACGTATAATATAATGATTTGACTATGATGTTGCGGTATTGTGAATTCGTTTTTGAGGGGATACAAAGGAAAGTTGTAGTCAATATAATATATTATAAATAAAAACATGTGGTTTGGATGGGGGAATGTAGGTGTTTATGCGTCACACGTCATGTCGATGACTTGAGGTGTTGATTGTTGATTGCAGTTAGATTGTTGTAGGGCGCTGTCCACCGATGGCCCATATCGTTGTCTCTTGCCCATCATGGTTCGTCGGTGACGGCAGTGGCCCCCTAGGCTAGAGCCCATACTGAAATTGCAGGTTCAATTAAAGCATTTCATGTATATCTACACTGTTTACTGTTTTTCACCATGAATAATTTAGCCGGTTGATTAAAATCGTTTTTGAGGAATCAACAAGGAAATGATTGTCAGGACTTGCGTTGATGACTTTGATGTTAAATTCACAGTTAGATAACATTAATATATATATGAAATAGTCAATATTTTTAAAAAAAGAATTAAAGAATTAATTTTACATAGCTATAAAATTAAATTGCACAATTTTTATTTGTATTGTATATTTCATAATTATAACCACCCAGCTCCCTAAAATATCTATAGTTATGGCTATGTTAGTCTTGCTATGCTCGAATAGTGATAAATTGCCAAAATTGGCCCATAGTGAAAATAATTTGTATATTATACGCCACTGGGTGACGGTGATGAAGAAAAATTATTATAATCGTCGCTGTCGGTGACGATGTGGTATGGTTGTAAAAAGTGCTGACATGACGAGCATCAATGAGCTGGTCAATGGGCTAAGACCAAATTTAAGAAGCAGACGGTCGTGATATTTCGGCCGTTGGCCAGTACATGATGTAGCGTTGACGTCGTGGTAAAGGTCCAGTTTGTTTCGTGTAGGAAATTATACAATATTTTTGGGGTAAGAGTTTCCCCTGCGGACACGTGTTGATGTTGCGGAAACAACATCGGTGGCAGTGGTACCCCCGTAGAAAACTACGTTGTGGTTACAGAACACTGTAGAGAGGAGAGATAAGGGGATAATAAAAACATAAAATAACTGTGGCAAAATTATGACTGGTAACTGATTATATTATATTTTACTTTTCATAATTATGTTAATTTTGAATGTTAATTTAATAAAAAATGGAAGTGTTGTTAAAAGTTTTAAAACTAAAGAGGATCTAAATTCCATGATATTACAACACATTTAAAAAGTATCATATAATACCTATTAACATTTGGTTTTAAAAAATCCAAAACAAAATATTGTACCTCTCTATTGTATAAAAAAAAGTTTGATGCCTGTGAATATAATAAAAATTAAAAAAATACTGGTATGAATATTAAGTAAAGCAAGGATGGGCTTAGCGCCGTTGAGGAATATTATAATTTAATAGGTAGGTAACATAATTAAGATTCTATAATGTTATCCAATATTTATAATTACTGAGGAGTGGCTCATCGAGTTACCACGATGTTATTGGAAACGCGTGGTGGAATATTACAATTTACCTATATTGTAATATTAAAAAAAAAAATGTCACTATCGAAATTGCACGTATTTTCAGAAAATGGATTTGTATAATACAGCAACCACGGCGGGTGGTCTATTTTAACAGGACGTGAATCCAATAGTATAAAATCTTTGAGCGATAAATTCGGAATGCGAAGGCTGTTTTTTTTATCTTTATAATATTAACAAAAAAAAAGTTTGAGAGAGTGTCTGCAGTAAGTATATATTATACATATATACAACAAGCTTTCACCATATTTTAAGAGGGGGCTGTAAAAAAAAAAACCGCTGACGGCGTACGACGAGTACCTACCGCGGGTCGTTACGTGTCAGGGGTGCGTCTGCTGTGCATAATATTAATAATATTTAATACCGATACCTCGCCCGTGCAGTTCCAATTATTAAAACCTTAGAAGAGTTACCGGAAATCTTCTATTTTATCTTATTCTATACAGATAGGTACCTAACATAGTTATTATTACTATAATAATAAATAGGTACTATTATTATTGTTGTTATTATTATTATTATTATGCTAGCGTCGGTTTTAGTGATAGAGAGGAGTAAGCGTTTGGAATACCAAACTGATAAGTATAAATTTAAAATATTGCTCATACAGTCATAAAGTAACCTGTCCTATTATTTTTGTTGTTGCTGTAAGTCTGGAAATGTAATTACACATATTATACAGTTGGATGCATCCACTAAAATTTAAAATTAGTACTTGAAACCGGTAACAGTCTTTACCAAAAATCGGTAATTTACCGGAAATTTGGGGACCTAAAACCACTTATTTTAAATTAATCTCTAATCCCGATTATCGGTTACCGGTTACCGTGACGATTTTTCAATTAACATAAAACGTTATAATAACATAATAAGTATTAACTGGGTAATGGGTGTATAGACTATACCGTTACTTAATTATGAGTTATAATATGTTTAATTTATTCTAGCTACATAAATAATGATAAGTTCGTAGCTCCTATCATAGTTTAATAATTACTAATTAGTTACTTCTTAAAACTATTCTTCAATCATACTACATAAATGCAATACAATAATTGTTTTTAGAAAACGGATATTCAATCGCTTATCGGGAACCAAAATTGTTTTGAAGCAGTTAACGCTTAATCGGTAACTTATAATATTAAATATAGTACCGGTAATAGGTTACCGCTAACGACAAGACCGGTAATCGGTATTTTTAATAACAGTTTTAAGCCCTGTTAATAATAAAATTCACAAAAAAAATGTCTAAAAACTTTGTTTTTTTGTCAATAAAAAAGGTTCGTTCTAAAAACATTATCAAGAATTGAAATGTTTTTTTACGAGTTCTTCTTGCATAACTTGACATAAGTATTCGTTTTCTAATTTTATAATGTTACAACCAGAATAGTGGAAAATAAGCGAACGTTGTAAGCCTTCTTCAAATCCCCCAAAAAAATATTTAATTTGCAACAATGATTTATCTAAAACCTATTTTAATTTTTACATTTTTGCTTTCCATAGATTTCGTATTGATGTTTGAGTACATTAAATACATTATGTACATTAGTATGATTTATACACGAATATATTAAACAAATTATATTACATCTGTAACTATAGCTGTCACACGGCCCAATTTTATTTCTTCGTAGGTACCTACCGAATGTTATTTTATTAATAAATCAAAACGTAATATTATACACAAACTGACAAACATGCCAATAACAATTTATATTTTACAATAATATAATTTACATAATTGTATGACTGACGATGAATGATGTTTTTAACTTAATTTATCAAGTATTTCTTAAAATGTATAGACAAAGATACCATTTTGTAACAAATCGGCTAGGTATTAAATTAATAAAAACCATAAACCTATTAATAAAGTTACAAAGCTTATTGTTTTACATCTACCATGCATACTTATTCGGATAGGCAAAATTTCACAACATATTATTAAAATATCACAACTATGTATAGTAAGTATTTTTATTACTTAAGTAAGTAATTTTTATATTGACAACATTTAGAATAAAAATAATTAAATAATCCCTCAATACGTGGTTTCATTAGTACTTAACAAGGTTAACATATTTAATTATTTAAATTATAAGAAAATAGGTATAGAATAAAATATACCATGTATTAAAAAATTAAAATATTAAATCTTATAATATCTATAATAATAGTCTAATTATAAAAGTATAATTGTATAAATTAAGATATAAAAAATTTGTCCAAATTATAATTTTTCAAACATTTTGTTTCTACATTGACTCAAATTAATCATAATTCATTAATAACATCACCTTTTTTAGTTTTAGTACGTTTTAAACTTTTAACACATAC